CTTAGTACTAGTCTAGAGGAAGTATCTGATATTGCCTTCATGAAACGTAATTTATAGAATTTATTAATCATATCTGACGGAAAATAGTTGTACACTTGTTCTAGTAATCTGCTTGCAAATGCTCTATTTGAAAATAATATAATACCTATTGAACGTTCGAACTTTCCGTTAATAAACATGAAAGCCTTGATCCAAAAGTTTGTTCAAAAAGAAACGCAGGCAGTTACTATATGCGAGATGTTGGACTGTGAGTTCAAAGTCGAAACTCCAGAGCGCTGTATAAAAGTACATCACTGGACATCAGGCGATGAGAATACTGCTGACGGGCAGATTTGCTGACGGCTTATCGACTCAAGATTCCGTTGTCTGTTGTACCAAACGCAGTATAACCACATTTATTATGACAGAGCCGCGTCGAAAACTTTGGATCGACCTTTGTCCGCAGTTGCATCGTCTGGGAGGTACTACGTCTACTGTTTCATAAAGCCTAAGTTGTTATCTCACGTGTAGAAGCTACTCATGAAAGTTCTGTTAAATCGTTTAAGCAACAAGCAATCGAGAAGGCCGAATTTCGCCGAAATTTTACGTCACTCAATCACCTTCAAGTATAAAATCAGCAGATCGAAAAGTTTAACTAGTAAACAATGCCCACCTACATGATCTTCATCGACTATGAAAAGGCATGCAACATAGAGCGTGAAGCAGTCTTCCGTGTGTCGGCTGATCAGAGAACTGGAGAAGAATAGGGCCGAATTTTCTAAGAAGCATGCGTAAGCAATAGCATGACGACAAAATTATTTAAAAATTCAGTTGAAATCTAGGTTTCTAATGAAGTCCCTCAAGGGACACCACATCGCCTAGGCTGTTTGCCGCATTAAGTCAGTATTTCACAAATTCAAATGTAATGGAGGACTTTCAATCAACAATAGACGGCTCACTATCTACTACCTTCTGCGGCATCAGGCAACGTAGTATCGTCAAAACGCAATGACAGAAGTGCATGACCAGCAAGCAGGCGCTGCTTGAGGAAAGTTTCAGAATGACTATGAACAGCGAATGGCGTGGTTTGATAAAATAGCAAAACGAGGGTGGAATTAATTTGGAGATTTTCATGTGGTTCTATCACAAGAAATAATCATTTGTGAGGTGGGCCAGGGAAAACTGTGGCATAAGGTACGTCTACCAGGCAGCGTGATAGTACGCACCTTCTGATACGATCAGATCAGAGCATCGCGCTGATTTTATACAAATGTGAATGGTTTGCCACCCGTTCGAACAGAAGAACAGTGGGATGAATCCCCTACTCGAGGGAGTTAGTAATTAGCAAGAGATTTTTGCCACAAACGTTATTCGAACTGGACATCATCGAACTGAAAAGTAGACCGCTTACCCAGTTCCCTCACATTGACCGCCTGTAGCATCTACCCATCACCAGTGTGATCGTTCGACGGGAAAAAGCGCAGCTTTCGAGCGACAGCATCTTGGCTACCGTGTTTTCATGCTTGTAGAACGTTATCACATAAGAAATCCTTTGGAATTTCATTTGCGCGGCTTGCAATTTCCAGTCACATTGTTTTCGCCAAGGGGCATAACTGACGTTCATAGATAAGTGCAGGTGTTAGACGGATTTAAAGCAAAACGCTTTAGCTGTGGCGTCGTTTATTTAGTCCATCCCTAAGTCTCTTTTCACGTCCTTTCTGGTATCAGAAGGGATGCTACCTGCAGTAGGTGAGCTTCTTCACTTCCCAAAGGTATACCTCACTTAGCTGTCAAACGCAGCTTTACGCTCGAGCCACAAAACCATAACATTCGATTATTAGGTAATTCGTTGAATGCTGCAGAGCTTGATCGTGAAAGGTATGAAGATTCTGAACACGGTGAAATCACAGCTGACGCAATGGCAGATAACGTTTGAATTGAAAGGATGGATACTACCGTACAGTTGTAAACTCTTCGAACCGAATATCGTCACGTACGACTGGATAGATGATGACGTCACTAAGGTTGATGTATTCAAATTACGAAAGAATAAGATAGATCGACAAAGAAAGTTCTGTCAGGTTTTGAACAGTTGGAAAAAATGCTGTATAACATGAAGTGATTACGCAAACAATCAAGGCAACATTGAGTAGCGCATATAAACAAATCAGTAGTTTTCAAAAGTATCGGAATCCGGATCGTCTTGATCCGCGCTTGCGAAGATTTATAGAATTACCGCGTCGAAAGTCGCGGAACGGCTGCCGTACACCGGAACGACGCCACGAACCCGAAAAGGAGGTAATATCCGACGCAGCTGTCGGCGAGTCTGCAGGAGGCGACCAAACAATTGGCCTCTTAATGCGAATAGCTGAAAACAAAAGCGGTTTAAACGTAAGAAACCAGGCTTTTCTCGGATCGACTGCGCCGCAATGAAATGAATAAGACTGCCATAACAAGATTGCCTGGTGCAAATAGGATACCATCGAAAAAGGAGTCGGTATATTTTACAGTCTCAGTGGAAAAAGGCATTTTCAGTGTCGTTTCGCGCTGCTCTTTGGAGACACGATGACACCATTCTTGTTCAGGAAACTAGAAATGCCCAACCAGCAGAAAACAGCACACGTAAAATGAAAATTCTGCGGTTTGGCCATGAAAAACTGAAAACATCACAGCATCAGCTAGTTGCTCCAAAGTTACTGTCTAACGACAAAATCTACGTAACACAGTCGTCCTGTATTGCAATTAACATTCTGCTAAATCATCAAAAGATGAACAAGTGCAAGAAAAAGAGGCCACTGAAACGGAACGGGGAGCATTAGTAAAAGAAATTTATGGATCTCGGAACGATGGAGCTAAACCGATAAGGTGGCAGTTGCAAACCATGAAACAAAACAATGACTCGCGAATTCGCCATATGTTGCATACCTTTCGGCTTCGAAGTAGATGGTCCGACGTCACTGGTGTCGTTTGTTGAATCAAGGCCTAAAAAATTGCATGAACATAATGCGAAATCAATTTCTCTTCGTATAATATTACCAAGAGGACGAAACTTAAAACAACGAGTTAGATCGTATCAGAACAGTTGCTCAATGAGCTCAGTAATGCTGCATGAGACAAGTCGCTGCTCTTTCGAACAAGAAAAGCAGACGACACGGGAACAATATTTGCAGACAACTCGCTATATAAATGAACCTCGTAAATACACACTCCGCTACAAGTGGCATACGTTTGGCTGTCAGATTCAAAGGAAATGGTATTCTATAAATAAAATTGGAACTGCATGAAAACTTTGATTGCATTTCAGCGTTAATAGCTTTAGCTACGAGAAACAGATATCATACATGATGAACAGGTTAATCTTCGGCGTTGTCAGCACCTTGACCTTAGCGACACCAAGAACTTAATCTTTCGATACAAAGCCAGGATAATGAATTCATAATTTATTTTGAAACGTGCATATTACAGTGGAAATACTAAAGGCTTTGAATCGTGATAGTATTCTGTGGTCAATTCAGGTATAGCGTATAAAAATCACCAGTGACAATCAGGTGTGGTTATCCAGGTTTTCGAAAAAGTCGATCAGAGACTGCAGCAACCACTGAAGATCGTCTGCTCAGTCTGTCTTTGAAGTATATGCAAAGTGTTTGAAAAAAAGATATCGAAAAATATTGGAGCAGAAGATTCAGACGAGTAACGCGGCTTTCACCTCGATCTCAGAACCATACTAAATCTTAACTCTACGCCTCATCTGCGAAAAATGCTGATAATATGCGAAAGAAGTTTGTGCCTGCTTGAGAAAACAGGAAAAGGTATAGGACAAAGTAACCTGGTCGAAGCTGCTGAGAGTACTGCAGGCATATGCGGTGGATGACCGATCAGCCACTGGAGGCCATTTGCGCTATATGACTGTTTAGAAGCCTGTTTCCGGATTAATGACAGAAAATTCATGTTGTAAAGAGACGCGATTACATCCGCCAACGGTTTTCGCCTTCACTTTGAAAATATTGAGCACTGGTTCGGAAGGCATGTCTTATACCGGGGAAGGTATGACTAAGACATACACTGTTTGCATCGTCCAATGTAAACCTCATACATGCGCTTGAGCGCTGCCACAGGCAATGAACCCGGAACGAAAACCAACCTGATAAACACCGAAGCTTTTGTACTGTTAAGAAATGACTTTCAGCGTGCTCCACAGGTAACTGGATGATGTATCTCAGGATAGCATTCAGGAACGTTGGCAGAATGACGCTGAAAGTGATATATGGATCAGCTAAGCAAGCGCCGTAATGGGGCAGCAAAACTGCTTTGTAACGATGAAGAAGGAACTTAGCCGTAGTGCGAAATTGAACCTAGCCGCAGTACGAATCTTCAAGCCAATATAAGCACATCATTTCATATGATTATCAGTGCTGAATACGGATCGAAAGTGTGATCAGCGATACAGGTGACAGAAATGAGGTTTATTCGAAGAACTGCAGGAGCGATGAGACTCGATGCCTTCCTGAACACCGAAGTTTCTTACACCTTCGGTTGCAAACAGCTTCTTT